AACTAAATTTGCAATGAAATGAACAAAGCTTGGGTACAGATTATGTACCTACCTACATAGATGTTAAAATGTAGCTGTAAGCAGTATGACAAATTATATGTGTGGCAATTTATTATTAAAAATAAAAAAACGATTTCATCTGAAAAACATTTACCTTACGCCTTTACGCTCTGTTAAATACTTATACCTTTCTTGTTATTTTATTTTTATTTTTATTTTTTTCTACTACTTTCTAATACTTCCTCAATTGTTCTTATTGTTCTTTTTGTAACAGATTGAATAAAACATTTAATAAACAAAAAAAAAAAATTGTTTTACAGTTTTATTGTCTGTTGTAATGTCAATTGTAGTTGAGTTATTATATTTTTCAAGGTGGTTGCTTTACCTCTTTGTTTTTTACTTACTTTATATTTGAAATTATATCTATCATTTAGAGAAAAATAAGTAATTAATGTACATCTTTCATTAGTTATATTATTAAATTTGTATAATACTTTTATCGTGTGATTCATATTTATACTTAAATTAGTAAATAGTAATCATTTACCATTTAAAATATATTAATATTGAAATAGGATTATGTATATAAAAGTGTAAGAAGGCATTCTCTATACTTGGAATTTTCAAATGGTTAAACAAAATTAGAATATATACATTTTTTCTTGATACTGATAAAAATGAACAACAATTTAAAAAATCTTCTGAGAAAATGGTTTGTGAAGGTTTGAGTTTTATAAATGTATTTATATAATAAAGTGACACCCAAGGGGTAGTGTAAATTATTATGTACATTTTAATAAGAAAAAATGTTAATCATAATATTTTTCAATTTCTGTAGTAGGTACTTATTTAATCTAATTGTGAGCATATTAGTTATTTGTTAAAATTATTAAAAGTGGTAGATCTTAAAGGAGAAAGATTAGTCAAGGAATAAATCTTGAGGAAATATATTGTAGCTATGAATTAGTTAAAAATATTTCTTATAGACAAACAAATATGCCAATGGAAAGTAGAATTGTATATAAAAACATGTCTGCAGTAATTAATATTTTTAATGTATTGCCAATAGTGTTTAAAGGTTCTGTTGATAAATTACTATCTATTTTACCATTTTAGTCATTAAATTTGTAATATCATAATCAATATTAAATTTATCATCACTGCATTTTTCTATTAAGTTCTTTGCTAATTAGACTGTAAAGTATTAAATTTTCATGGTGAAGTTAATGGTCTATTAAAGGGCTTAAAGAAGTTAGAACATTGTTTAAATACCATCTCATATTTCTTAGGAAATTTGTATTGTTGAATCGGGACATTATCACCATTTTGGTCTAAAAAATGGAATTTTAAAATATACTCAAACAAATATTAATGATATTAAGGTCATACATATCAATGGAATATCTTTGACAAGAAGTAATTAACGTTTTGGCCTATATTAGCATACATTATTATTAATAGTACATTAGTTCATCAATTCAAGATGTTTTTTAATTGGCTTTTAATATGGTAAAGAGAAATCTTGCAGTAGCAATGGCTTTATACTAGATATTGTAAAGGAAGCTAAAGAACTTATTTTAAATTGCATTGCAAAAAGTAATATTAATATAAGTATTATTTGTTATAAATTATAATAAGAAATAAGAAATATATTTAAAATAAATGCAAAAAGTTCCAGATAAAATGAAAGGATTTTTAAAGATACTTATAGCAAATTTTACAATATTTTTACAATAGACGAAAAAAGTTCTTAAAAAATATATTATTGTAAATTTCTTACAACATTATATAAAATTTTTTTTTTTGATTATGATGTACATGTATTTTTTGGTGACAATATTTTGGGAATAATTCATCAATTTATACTACAAAATATTAACATATTTTAAATGTTTTAATACAAATAGATATAAATTCAGTTTTAATTAATAAATAATATGATGAAAATACTTACAAATTATATTGAATAGACTTGTAAAATGTAGGCATTTAACAAGAATAGTAAAAGTGCATATAGCATATTTTTACCCTCAAATGTTGTACACTTAACTGATACTTATTTTTTGAAAATGTTTTACTTTATATAGTTCATTTGTAGCACTAATACTTAATTTTAAAATTATTTTTATTTTTTTATGTATTTGATAATTTATTTTTAGTTCTTCATGTTGACCCACATTAACTAAATGTCTGGATAAGTGTGACTCTACTGCTCTACATTAATTTAAAAAATAGTATAATTTGTTAAAATGTTTACTGTACCTAACATTAAATAAAAGATAAATCTACATATATATCTAATGTAATTTTTAAATGTTGAAATATTCATTTATTAAATATTGATATGAAAATTGAAAACTTGGGAATAGGTACCTATTAAATTCTGGAACTTTGAAGTTAATTAGTGAGAGTAAAGGATGAAATTTATTTTACTAGTTAATAAATTGTTCAACATTTTCTCACTCAAAACATATTTGTTTTCTTTTTTCTCAAGCTCTTGTGATACTTGCTGAAACTTTAGAAAATGTAAATAAGATGAAATATACACTAAATTATTTAAAATATTAAACCAATTAAAGCTTGGATTTAATCTGACTTCAATATCTTATGATTTTTGACGAGAAATATTTAAATCTATAAAAAATTAATATAATTATAGTTTATGACTGTCTTAATTATTTTTCAAAAAATATTACATGTTTACAGACATGTAAAATATTTTACATAACTAATTGTTGTATAAAACCTTTTATTTTTAATTTTTAAAAATTTCTCCCTTAGCTACATCTAAATTATTATAACTGAATCGTTCAAAAATGTCTGAAGTATCTTGAAACTAGACACATAATTTTAGTATAACTTGAATGTAACCAGTTATCACTAATAGAGTGACTTTTCTATCACAATGTAAATGTATAGTTTGTTATAAGTATGTTTATAATTAATGTATAAATTAAACTGATATCAATAAATAAAACACCAACTTAATTTAATTTAAAATAATTGTTTTTATTGTCTTGAACAACACAATATAATATAATATTAATTTATCAGTATTATTATTAGGGCCAGGATTTATATGCATTTGCATGTTTTTTCTAAACAGGCTAAAAAATAACTAGGTAAGCTTTAAGTTTGATTTGTTGTCAATAGATCCGAAATATAAAGTTTTATTTTAGATATTTTTGCTTATTTTAAATAAAATAACATAGTTATGTCCATGTAATTTGGCGAAGTCGTTTTATTATCTTATCTAAAACCCATCGAGACAAGTAGTTATCTTTATGAGTAGGTTTTAGTGAATCATATAATAGTCGTGTTTGTCATGATTAGAGTGTGCGTAACTTTCATTGGATTTTATTTATTTTTATATTTAATGAAATAAAAGACTTTAATCGATTTTTTTGCATATTTTTTATTTTATAGTGCATATTTTTAAGGATTTTAGAGCATACAAATCCAGGCCCTAATTATTATAATGGCAGTATAATTTGGACTGAATTGACATGGAAGTGGTATGCGATGTAAATGTGTATATACATTTAAATTTAATTGTATTATTTTAAACAAGTGGTTTTTGCAAAGTTATATATCAATATAAATTTGTTGGATAATTAATTTTAAAAGTAAGTTAATGATTGTCAAGATATACAATAATAAAACTAATATTATTTTTATAATATAATAATAATAATATGTTATACATAAAGATACTTAAAAAAGTTAATTGAAAAATTACATATTTAACCGATTCTTGTAAAAAATAATTGTAAAAATACATATTTAAATAATGTTTAGAAAACTTAACTGTAAAAATATACATTTAAAAAATTCTTTTAACTTAATTGTAAAAATACATATTTAAAATATAAATAATTGATATTGCTAATTTAAAATGTAATAATATGTATAGCACAGTATTTATTGGCATGTTATACTTGTTTATTACTGCCCAACTTTTACATACATATTTATACTAATTTTTTAGAACTTATAAAATATAAAAAAGTTTTCTTAAATTTTGCTAATTAAAGATTTTAAAATAAATTGTTATTTATTTAAAAAAAAAAAAATAAACTGTCGTTACTAAAAATGTAAGCTTTAAAAAAAAAATTAACATACTTAAATAGAAATATTTATTTTCCAAAAATTATTAAATTCTTAATTATCATATTACTAATTCCTTAAACTCAATACATAATATTTTTTGAATCAAAAATTAACATTTTATTTTAATAAAAATAATTGACATAATATCAATACACAATTCTTTTATTAACTATTATTTAACAGTTATTTACATTACATTTTATGTAGTAAAATTATGAAGTATATAAATAATTAATTTATAAATTAAGTAATTCTTTATAAGTTATTATAATGCAAACAAAACTTATAAAAATTCTACGTATAATCTTTACATTTTAAAAGGATGAGAATGAAACCAATAATTATGTTAAATAAAAATCATTATTTTTTTTTTCTAATTTTTAATTATTGCATTAATATATCAAAATAAAATCATTCTAAGATATGATTCCATACAAAAATATCACTTATACATAAAAAATAAAATATTTTAAGACAAATGGGAATGATCAATTGCTTATTAACTATTAAACATAAAATATTCTTGAATAATTAAATTAATTTAAATAATAATTTATTAAAGAATAGTATTTCATCTTTTAGAAATTCATCTGAGAAAAAAATTTGTAATAAAATCAGTGAAGAATAAACAATATTATTAAACTAATACTTTATAGTAGAACTAATATTGTAAAAATCTTTAAGTTGATGATGTAAATAAAATATTATTTATTTTAAGAGTAAAAACCTTATCTTTTAATAAGCTCAATTGAAAATTAATTTTGAATATCTATCTACCATAAATAATTTCACATATTTGTTATCTGAAATATATTTTAATTGTTAAAAATTGGTTTTGTTTGATTTAGTAGGTTCTTAAATTTTAAATAGTCTTAGATTTTTAATCAAATTTACACATTATCCTTTTCCTCAAACTTCATGGTCAAATCTAATATTATTTCCTTGAAAATCACAGGACTAGTGTTTTTGCCTAATTGATAAAAAACAAACCAATCTCCTATCCAAAACTTCTGACTTAAAGTTTTTAATTTGTCATGAGAAGTGTGATCAGTTATTGATTTCAATAAAAGTAAACGGAAAACGGGTATCAAAATGATAACTGTACGATACACAGTATTTAATACACTAATAATGGCAATAAACCAGAACCAGAACCAAAGGAATACAAAAATTTTTTCGTTAAGAATATTTAGCGGCAATAAACACAAACCATCAAACGTCTGAATAGAACCAGATGGACCATATTTTTTGAATATACATTTGGTGACTTTAGGAAACACTCGAGACATTACATCCGTACGATCTTCCGGTTTCATTTCAGTCATTCTTAACACTTCATAGCCATATCTACTAAACTCACCTTCAAGAATGTAGTCTATAAAATACATCTGTAGTAGGACGTTGCACAAGTTAAGGAATTCGCAGAGGAAATACCTGATAGCATAGACATTTTGCATGTGTAGGTTTTTGACAAAGTAGTTAATTAATGATTCCTTATGTTCAGGATCGAAGTCGATTGGACAGTTGAGATCTAGAACCAGTGCTCTCATGCGTCCAGCCTCCCATACCTTCCACAAGTACCTGGGTGCGTAGAAGAACATGGCTTGGAAGAACAACACAAAACAAACCCATTGATAATATCTATGATACTTGACTGTATCAGCACTATCGTCGTAAGTTGAGACACCCGGGTGCACGTCTTTGCCAATTTTTCCTTTATTCCACTTAGGGATGGTGAACGTCGAGTATATCCAACAGTATGTGTCTATAACTTTGCTTGGTATATCATCGACTATACAATCAATCGGATCGCCAAAGTACTGTCTGTATGTTACGAGAATCGAGCACGCTAACAGGATAACAGCGGTCGCTCTGTAGTGCAATCGAAAAACAACGTTATCGATATATACATCGTCGATTTTCAGCAACACCTTTAAGGATCCAAAAACATCCAACATGTTGCAAGTCGTTAATAATAATGTGCACTTTGTAAATATAAAATTTAAAACTGAATAAACTCAAAGTCAATAAAATTAAACACCCTTGTCATCACAAAAATGTTTTTGTAAAAAAAATGGTGACACTTCGGATTATTAAAATGGTAACGTTGTTTTTGTGATAAATATTAAACGGCGCGAACGTAACACAGATACACACAAAGTAACAATCCGATGAGCAACAGGTGATCGACTGAACGAACAGCGCGGCGTTTGCGGACGAATCATGAACGATACACCATATACAACAGCTGCTGGTGGAATGTACAGTGTTGTCAATAAGAAGAGGTTAACTACGGAGCTACATGTAATAGTATGTGTGAGCATGGAACACAACAATGGTGGGAGTGAATGCGGGGTGGTAGTGGGTTGTCATGAATCTCGATAGTGAAGCGTTGTTGTCGCTGCTGTCATCCCCTTTCGCTTTATTGTGAACAAAGAACACGCATCAAACGAGTGCGGCCTTCTCGAATATGCTCAACTATTACTATGAGGGATAATTTTTGAAATAATTAACTGTTTATTCCACGATTTTAAAAAAAAAAGTTATGGTTAAATTATTCGATTTATTGTCAGTAATCTTTTCTTGTATTATAAAATGTGAATTATATTGGGCGTTGATCGTCAATGGCGTCGCAAAAAATGAGTTTTAAATTTAAAATTTTTGTCAATCAAAAAATTAGAGTTTTTTTTTTTTTATCTCCTGTACTCTCCGGCAACCTGTTTTCGTTATTATTATTATTAGTATTGTTGAAAATTTTTCGATTTTCAAGCCTTCCTGACCATTTTTGGCCGCGTTTCGTAAAGCATGTCTTTTGCGATCCGTACGTCAATTCGGTCTGTAGCTAGCGGTCGCATTCGAGTTCAGAAAATACGGCTGCCGACCGATGGACCGTTCGACATTTTTCTCTTTTTTCGAAGCTGCTTCGTGTTTTTCCATCCATACCGTCCGTAATCGCATAGAGTGTGTCTTTTGCAAACCGTACATTTGTGATTCAGTCCGTAGCGTTTAGAAAATATAACCGACGTTTTTCTCCGATTTTTCACTCTTTGTACTTCCTTTTTCGCGTTTTTTGTGTACGTACAGTCCTTAATCGCGTTGTGCGTGTCGTCTGAAATCCACGTGTGAAAAAAAAATTATTTCAAATAATGGTAATATAGTATTAATGTAAAATAACTTTGATGTATATATATATATCAATTATATGCATAATAAAATTTGTTTGTGTACTTTGATAAGTATGTTTGATTTAACCTCCTATGATACGCAAATTTGTTATATGTATTACAAATTTTTTTTGTGCAATATGAAAATAAATATCAAAATAGAACAGTTTTATGTGAAATGTGTTAAATTTTACTGTAAAAAATGAATAAATACATAATCTAATAATTCAACACTAAAACACACAAAAATTAAGAACTTAGTTGTACTTAAGAATTTAGTCCTTCTCTTAGATAAGATCTGTCCTTCTGACATGCATTTCATTTTTTTTATAACTATTTTTATAAAATCTTGGCAGTTTTTATTTCTAATTATAATTTTTTATTTTTTATTTTTTTTTTTTTTTTTGTAGGATGTTGTCATACATAATCTTTTCTATATCATGTATAATTAATTTCATTCGGTAATGTGTTTTTACAATCCAATTAGTTTTAGTTGAGGTAGAAAAGATATGAATCCATTTATCATAAGCAGTACTATTATAAGCGCAAACGTTACTAAAAATCGAAGGACCACACTCATTAGGTTAGAACCGAGAATAATTGACAAAAAAAGAATAAAAGAAAAACACCTGAAAATTTTCGGGTTAGGCAACTTGACAATTGACTAAAGGGGCACGATAGACAACCTATCACACGACGACGTTAACTTGGGAACGGTTCAAACGGAACATTTAGTTAATGTCATGTAAGGTGACATTTTAAGAAAAATTAGTGTATTGTAAAATGAAAATTTCTTATTTAGCAAATCAAGATGAAAATATAGAAGTAAAACTGAGGTTCTCATATCAGAAGAAGACATAGTAATTGACAATTATAGTGTTATTTTGAAGTATATTTATTTTTTTTTATAAAAATTTATAATTGTACCGAATGGTGGTGTTCAAATCATAGTAGTTTTAAAGAACTTTTGGATAAAATAATAATTAATCCATAGAAGACCAACATATTATTCGTAAAGCTATAGCCAGATTAATTTACTAGCAAGGCAAAAATAAAATAAAAAATAAAGTAATATTAATTTGTTACCTAAGAGGCCAAGTTATTCCTTATTAATTACATTATTTAAATACAAATTATTTTTATAATATAGAATATGCCATGGTACTGTTTAAAAGGAAAAGTTGGTCATTTTTTTGCACCTAAATGTTGGCATTCTGAAGAATAACTTTTATTAAGTAATTTTTGAAAGAGATATGAGTGCATTCCTATGTCATCTACTATCGTCCTATAGTGTTTTTAAACACGATAAGTGTAAATTATGGCCGTCCGGCAGCTGAGTATAGGATGTTGAAGTAGGTAAGTCAATTTTTTTTTAATTTTTTAAGTACGAGCCATCAGTCTCCTCAAGTGTTGAGCTTAGAAATAGTAAGGTTTATATTTCTATAATAAGAAATTTAACTAATTTTTTTTTTTTGGAAAAAGAACACTTCAGTCCAATTTCATAAATTTGCTTTATCCTGATTAACAACAAAATCGAAATTTTGAATGAATAGTTTATGATTTAATTAATAAGCATTTAAAGTTTGTATGTGTGGAGTAGTAGATCGATGTTTTGAAGGAGTAGGTATCCTTGTGCCACTCCATATCGCTTATCAAAACTTTGAATATTTTCAACTCATAAGCTACTCATTCAAAAATTAGATTTTATATATCATTTTAATATTAAATAATCTACTTTTGAGACTTCGAGTATACCATTAAAAATGCATGCTGTAATTAAAAAAAGTAAGAACTTAAAAAATAACAGTGATTAAAAATAAAAGTATATTTTTTTAATGACTTAAAACAGTTAAAACTATAAAATACTTAGTCACAATTTGTTGAAATAAACGTGTTTTTATCTAAATCTTCAAAATTACGGGTATCTTTAATTTACTTTGTTAATAAAAATTAATGAAACATTACATTTTTCATAAGTGGATTTTATTGTCATACAATATGATTTAATAATAATAAAAAATATTTCTATAATACACGCAGGTATTATTTATAATTCTTATTAGGTATTTTATGAATGAATACTGTGTTAATTAATATAATGTTTGTAATCTAACAACTGTAATTTATTTTTAATTTTAATATATCTTCTAGGTTAAGCACATTGACCATATTTGCATCAATGACTAGTTACTGCAGCCACACTATTATCTTTGTTAAAAATTACAATCGATCAAATTTTTGTGAAATTAAAGAAATTAATTTTAATTTAGGTATATTAGCTATAAATGTTTTATAGACAAATTTGCTTACTTTAAGCTTGATATAAATATTTTAGTATAATATATAAAATTTACCATATTTGATACATATATACACAAAGTACAAATGTAATTATTATTACATTTTTAAACAGAATGGATTATAGGTATTGCAATATTTCTGTTTTTAAGCATTAAAACCATTAACTTATGCATTTTTTCCTTTATTTTCCAAATGTTTAATTGATCATTTGAATATCTTTAAAAATATATATATCCAATTTTGAAGATTTTATCAGGCTATCATATAGTGCTTCTTTTTTAAGAAATGTATATCCAATTATTAAAGGTTCTTTAGTTATACAAGAATGAGCAATATTTATAACTTTAAAAATTTTATTTTATTTTATGAAAATAAAACTGTCAGCTAATTTATTAATATTTAGAGTGAAGTTTCTTAATTTTAATGACACAAATTGAGGATTATAAGTTATATTTTCCAACATTGGACCTTGATTATGAGTCTTAGTGTATCTAAGGTGATTTAGGTGTTGAAGTAACAGTAAATTCATTATTGGAAAATTCTTCATTATATGAGAGTACCATCTGCTGTAATGGTTTGTTATGTTTATGAGGTGTTGATTTTAAAAACTACATGTAATTTTCAAATGGGAAGCAATTACAACCATTAAGTGGTCCAAAATGTTCATAATTGTTTACAATATGTAATAATCTGTAGATATTATGGGAAATAGATTAGCACTTAAATAAAATTATCATAACATTCTTCAGATAATATATCTTTTAGAACTATTCAACCAGTGTATAATAAACATTGACGCAACTTTGTGGCCTTCCAACGACAAATTTCTTCAACAAGTCTAGGTTTCCTGACAAGTTATATTTTTGGTATATAAGGTTTAAGACTTAATAAAATTTCAGTTATCTCTAGCATTTTTTTATTATGCAATTGTACACAGTTATAGGTCTTATATAAATCTATAAATGGACTAGCTTACGTATTACCTAATAAAACCAAATGCATATAGTCTAATGCAAAAGACCGTACTATATCAAAATTAGATAATTTAATTAGATCTGAAGTTACATTTTTACGAAGATGATAACATTTTTGAATCAATAGGTTAGCTTAGGTTTGTTAACAAGGCTAGGCAAGTTAATGATTTTTTTTAACTCAGTTAAGTTAAGCATTTTTTGTTCAATTATATTGAAAGTTAAGTTAATAATTTTTTTAATACATCAATTAAGTTAAAAGTTAAATTAACAAAATTTGTTAGTTTAACTTAACTTCAATTAATAAGTTAAGTTAATGAAAAAAAAAACATTGAAAAGGTTTTAAAAAAGTGAAATCCACTTTTATAGTAATTAATATCTATAAATATAGATGCTTATATTATTATTTATATAATTAAAAACCTGTTGTAGAGCTTTATAATTTTATAATTATTTATATTTCATTCTGAGTCTGGGTTGATTTAAATTTGAGTAGAAATGTGCTTACTTTATTGTTTAACCTTTACAATACAA